ATTTTTGCTTCTGTGCAACCAAATAGCAAACAACTATAACATTAGAAATGATATTTAATTGTGGCCAATGTTCGGTTATTTTATTATTTATTTACGTACCTTGTCATTTCTTGCAGGTAATATATGCATTTTGACATTTTTTTGGTATTATTACACTCTGGTACGTATCACTTTGACATATTGGCTATTATTATATTATCTAGGTATTGGCTTTTCTACACTACACTACTCGCACTGAATTAAACTAATCACTTATCGCTATGCAACTTATAATACAACCGAATTCAACGAATCAAATGCAAGCAAACACGATTGAACGTTCTCGAAGGATTGCCCGAGTAAAATTTCTCACTCGATGAGAAATCTGGCACAAGAGCGCGACTCTGGTTACAGACATTTGTTCGGAGATTACCGGCCATTATCCGCAGAAGAGTTGTACCAAGTCTTTGCTGGCCCAGTCAATCGTGATACCAATAACAACGCCAATTTTCTCTTCGGTATATCGCATACCTCCGAGATTGCGCTTCGTCTTCTAAACCATGATTCTACATCATCCTCCCTATTGCCACTGAATTCGGGAATCATGGCTAAAATCTCCTGATTGCCCCTCGTGTCATGCACATTCAACACAGTAACGGTTACTGAGTACTTTCCAACTGAGTAACCTGTGGTTGAGCCGCCATTTCCGCTCGCGTGTTTTCACCGGTATGGGCCATGTTGTATATAATCTTATCAAATCTTTGTAATCACTTAATTCTTTTTCTTAAAACACTCAGTCTACATACCACGTGTTTCTCACTGGCCGGTAAAAATTTGCTTTACTTGTTGACCATCTGATTTACAATCTCTCTCAGATTCCTAATCTCTCTGATTTACAGTCTCTCGCTAGACTCTTAATCCTCAGATTTCCAATCTCTCAGATTCCTAATCAGCGCTCACAATAATATCAAACTCACTTTTCCTCTATATATGGGTATGCCACTTCTGAACTTTAAGCTGGTAACTTCCTCTTGAATAACCTGAAATTTTTATTAAAATGCAACTAACTCTTCAATAACTCGGTATATTCACTAACTCATTACAAACTCTTATTACTCTTCACTTAGCCTTAAACTCAACTCATCTCTATGAATCCTGTATTCACACTGTCACTTCCCACTCTCAGTAATCCTTACCAAACCATATATACATCCTGCCGGCTATTACGGGATCGGACACTCTCTCTAGACCCAGAGCCATCTATCCAACCGACCCGCACTACCAGCCGTTACATTCAAACTAATCAAACTACATAATCTTACGCTACTAGCCAAACTACATAATCTTACAATATATATATACGTGGTGTGTTCAAAAAGTACCCGGAATTACTAATAATTAAATTTCGCGGGTCTGGAGTGTCTGATTGTCAAAATTTTTTTTTATTGTGTTGGTATACATGCCCCTAAAGTATGATGAAATTTTCAGCTATATTCACTGTTTACTTTGTCTGTGGTAGTCGCTAAGGTTCGACGTGTTTTTCTGAGCTCGGCGATTTTTACAATGGAAGAATTGAAAAAGTCAAAGAATTTGTATTAAATTTTGCGTAAAAAATGAAATAAAGTGTTGCAAAGTGCAAAAATTCACCAGATATGGCTCCGTGTGACTTTTTCCTATTCCCAAAGTTGAAGAGACCCATGAAAGGACGGCGGTTTTCCTCGATTGAAGAAAATCGCCGAGAGTGCTCAAGGACATATCAAAAAGTGAATATCAAGGGTGCTTCGAAAATTGGAAAAAACGCTGGCATAAGTGTATTATATCTGGGGGGGACTACTTTGAAGGGGACCACATTAATGTAGACGAATAAATAAATATTTTTTTGAAAAAACGAAAATTACGAAAACTTTTTGAACAGACCTCGTATATATATATATATATATATATATATATATATACAAACACACACCTACACACATTTACACCTAATTTTAATTATACTATGTTGAATCTCTATACCATTAATCTAGTTTCACATATATACTCGTATATAGCATCATACGTTGCAGTGTCTGCCAACATCAGTCTCAGATTTGTGGGAAGTGGGATCCTCAGTTTTATTAATTTATTCCATAGTTTTTTTCTTTTTTCCTCCATATGTCTACATTTCATAATTAGGTGATTGACATCTGCGTTATAAGCTTTGCCAATGAAAAGACAGTACGGATTGATGTTAATTCCGATCCTATTCAAGTGGTAAGGTTCTCAGACGATTAAAAATGCAGTAAAAATGACGACACCTCATAAAATTGTCGTACTATGGTCTTACGGGAATTCGTTCTTGTACAGCTGCATAAAATTGTCCTTTTTCATGAATTGACTCTTGGAATTCCAATTGCCACTCCTTATATATCTTTGCCTTAAAGAGGTTTTTGATATTTCGGTGGGATATTCCATCTCCTATGATTATACCCGTGCTTATTGCATCTTTTGCTCCTTTGTCAGCAGCCTCATTCCCTGTGACTCCAATATGACTTTTGATCCAAATTAAGTAAACAGATATTTTTTTCGAGAGTATGTTATGTATATGCTTAAGAGTATCTAACACTAAAAAACTTGGGCCACTGCCTATAGATAGCAGGCTCTCTAAAGATGATCGGCTATCACTGAATACAACGGCTTTCTCTAAGCCAAGGGAGGCGATGCTTCGAATACATTTGTTGATGGCGTACATTTCAGCTGCATAAATCGATACATTTATATCTAACTTATATTTAGAATATAAGTTAGTGTTCTGATGATAGATGCAAGCACCTACGCCCTCAGATCCTTTTGAACCATTTGTGAAGAAAATCTCGAAGTCCGCGAACGTCTTTTTAATTTTATCTTCAATTTCTAACCTATACACCCAATCAATTGGACTGGAATATGTATTACAAAATTCCATCTGTATGATATGTTTAAGACTTCTAGTCGTGATTTCTTGGTCGAAGTAGAATTTTATTGCTTTGGTTTGCTTACATTTATATTCAGTTTGGCTTACATTTGTATTCAGTTTCTGAGAACACCGATATAAGTATAGCTTTCTTCTTATTTTGCCCATATTGTCTGCTCTGACAGTTGTTAGCACTACTAATTTTTTGTATCACTTCTACGTTATTGGACTTTATTCTGTCAATAACGAATTTCGTTGCTAACAGTTTCCTCCTTGAATGCAGAGGCATGATGTGTGTTTCCACATGTAAGGCGATAATGGGCGTTGAACGCAAAACACCCAGGAAATATCTTACAGCCTTATTTTGCAGGGTATCCAGCTTGCGCAGTAAATTTTCACTTGCATCCCCATAAATGAAGCAGCCATAATCGAGTTTAGATAATATAAGCTGTTTTTAGATCCTGATTGCGACCTTTACGTCAGCGCCATACATCATGTGATTTAATACTCTCAAGATATTTAACGCATCTTCACACTTTCTTACCAGATTTTCCAAATGTGGGCCCCATCCGGCAGAAAGGTTTTAATCTTTTTTTTTTATTTGCATTTAAGAATTGAAAAATTTGGCTTGTATACTTGTTGAAATTTTGTTTCGAAATAAGATACTGTTGGGGCCATATTTGACCATCTTTTTTCATCACTTGGATAAAAATTGGGGTTTCTTTGTGGACCAGTATTCATTCCTATTCTTTTTACGAATTTTGCCCATAAGCAAAAGTAATCCTAACATCAATTCTACTGCAGATACGTCTTTCCATTTCAAAGAACTTGCACTGTTTTTAAACCGATCAATATTTTGTGAACGATAACGGTTACTTTCTTCGGCCATATAGTCAAACAAATCATTCCCCAAAAATAGCTGAACCACTTTGATTACACTTTGTGGATTATTTGGTTTCAAAACACCACTTTGACCTAAATATGGTTCAATAATTGGAGGATTGTTAATATCTGACCACTCCACTTCTTTATTGTCACTATTTTCAGAATCACTGGACATAAGTAAAACTCTACGTCTTCTTGGATGAAAAAATTCATCTTTCACATTCACTTTCAAAATCAATCATATCACAATCACTTCTAATTTATGATAAATTATCGGCGTAAACTTTACTATCGCTATTCGATGCCATTGTTTTATTATTGCAAATAATTTAAGAAGAGATGTTGAACCATATAAATCTGACTAAAACTGTATTATAATATATTTTATATAATATATATTGAACACCCTATTGTTGTAACTTCTGCATAATTATCTACGAGACTTATCTAAGAGACTTGAGGATCAAACTTAATTATTGTTTTTTGTCCTTATCTTTATTCTGAAAGTCTTTCAAATACAAAACCAATTGAATATAGAAAAAAATACCAGCTTGTACTTTCAATACCTTATGCAAACCGATCCGATAAAAGTAATTTGACACGCTTTTTAAAGTTAATAGATTAACAATGCGTAAAAATACGCTGCCCGTCTATAGTGAAATACTTCACAAATCGACTATTTTATAAAAGGTTTCGACAGCAAGCAGACTCATCTGTTTTTTTCAAACCAATTTTGATCAAGATTGATTTTTCTAATATTGAGTTATAGTTTTCAAATTGAGTAAATTTGTTTGTATATTATGATACTTGCTACCTAAAATACACACAATATGAGAAAATATTTTTAACACTAATCGTACCAAGACTTTATATATACCTAATTCTACCATAGCGGGTCAAATGAACCGACTCTATGTTTCATGCTTGAATGTATGAAATATGGATGTTAGGAAGAAAATAAAAATAAAAATTAAATTTATTATAATTAAACAAAATAGTATGTTGAGCATTTCTATTACAGAAGCAAAAATAAAAAATTTTAATTCATAGTTGTATTCATAATTGTACATTTTCCTCAAACATAGTTTTTACATTTAGAGCAAATTTTGTTGGTTTTATTTTCTTTACAGTATCCTATTTGACATCTCATACATTTATAAGCATCTGTAGTAGACTTAGGCAACGATACTTTCGTATTTGTTTTTTATTTTGGTTGCTCACGGACTTGTCGAAAATCGGCTCCAAGTTCTTCTGCTAGCTTGAGTAAAAAATATTGTCGCGAGATATTTGCTCCTGTCGTTTGCTTGTACAAAATCCAGGCATTTATGCCAGCTAAATCAAGGATATTGAAGAAAACTTGGAGAGGCCATCTGCAAGACTTGGATTTTGTAGTAAATTTGCTCGCCATTTGATCGGTCATGTCTACACCATATTTGGTTTTATTGTAATATGAAACAGTTTCAGGTAAACGTTTATCATTGTTTTCTACTTTAACGAATTTATGTTTAGAACTAAGTAAAAGTACTTTGTTTGTTGGCTTACTTTTATAGATTGTAAGAGTACAATTATCTGTTGTAAAAAATTTCGATGAAAATTGTTCCATATCATCTTTCTTTTGCTTCGCAATTAGTGGTAATTCTCTTTTAGTTGACCGAATAATAAAAAATAACCTGTTTTACTATAGCTATCAAAATAAAATATAAGCTAGGTACTTACCAAGACATTCAATTTCTGCCACTTTTTCTAACAATAAAAAGCTATTTTCAATCTAAAATTTGATATTTTCTTGAAATTATTCTAAGCTATTTTCGTTGATCTACTTTACGCAACAGTGTTTAAAAGAATGTGCAACTGACTGACTACAAATATGACTCGACAATCTCATAAACCAAAAAATTCTCTCTGGGTCAAATGACCCATTGTGGTAGATATCGGTATACAAGAAGGATTACTCAGAATAAACAAAACAAAACAAGAAACTTTTGATTAACTGTAGTTTAATTACTTAAAAAAAAGTCATAATGTCAAATGTGCAAACGCAATGAAATTATACGTGCATTTTCAATGCAAAAGTTCAAAATGGGTCATTTGGCCCGTTATGGTATGTTTAGTGTTAAACCCTACATTTTCTATCTGACACATAAATAATTGATCTCTTTGCATTTATTTTGCATGATATAACAGTCTCTTTGTAAAATGACTGCAGCATAGTACATGTAACACTTATTAATATAATCAATCAAATTTGAATTATTACAACTGTGGATTAATATAAATATAAATGTAAATATAAATATAAATGTCTCTTTAAAATCCAAAGGACCTCCTAATACATTCATAGAATCTCTAAAATTTTTTTTCATCTGATATAAAATTCATTAACCTTTACGTATGTCAGACGGCATGTTAAGGCGCGAAGCTTAAAAAATTACTTCGACGTCTAACTGGGAGTTGTCGATTTACTTATTCTAACCGCTACACCTTTAAATTTGTTCTATAATTAAACTCTTGGTGTGATCGGTGATTATTTAAATAAAATGCGACGTTTGATATTAATATATTTATTATAAAAGAAATATAGTGAATATAATGGCATCAGATATTTGGTGTTTCTAAACTGAGCTCTAAACTTGTACTAAATAAAAATGATTACAAATTATGATTAACAATATTAACCCTGCCCGTAAGAGGCGGGTTACATTAATTTGTACATATACGGGGGATGATTTCTTGGACTTAATATATCTGAGAAGGATGATTCCTTGAAATTATCTGAAGGCATTTGCAGACCCATAAATAAAATTACCGACGCCGATATAGACAGTCCAGACATATAACTAACATCAAAATAAAAAAATATCTTATATTACAAATGCATTTAGCACTTGAACTGTGAATGACATTTAGACCACCTGCATCATAGTCCGGCGACACTCTAGCGTAACAGACGACCCTTACAAAAAATAGTTCATGTTACATTATTGGGACTCGTAATAATATATTTTATGAATTCTTAACATGGCGGGCACCTTGAAATAATACTAATATTATTTCGAAACTAAAGATACATTAATTATAAGCCTAATAATATAAGTAATTAAAAAAGTAACCAAGAAAGTGATACAAAGTAACTAATTTAAACTTCACTAACTCATGTCACTAATTGAAAGTCATTAAATTGTATTAAATTGTTTGTCATAAAATTGTTTTGTTCTATTATTTTGTACACTTCGCTTAGTTTATTAATTCACATGTTTTTGTTCATTATCAATGGGTAAAGCACAAACCTTAGTGGCAGCTCTTTTGAAAACGTTATTTTGAACTTTCACTGTTACTACACGCACTTCCTTATCTAGTCCTGGATGCACCTCGATAATGCGACCTAATTGCCAATTCAGTGGAGGTACATTATCTTCTCTGAGAAGTACCATGGTTCCGACTTTTAATGATTGGTTTCCACGGCCTTTGCATTTTGTCCTACTCTGCAACTCCGAAATGTATTCCTTATGCCAGCGATTCCAAAAATGTTGTGCCAAACGCTATAGGTGCTGGTAGCGTCCTAGTCTATTTTCAGGAAAGTCAAGTACATTTGGGTCGGGAATAGATGTTAAGGATTTGCCAATTAAGAAATGGCCAGGAGTCAATGGATTTAAATCATTAGGATTGGAACTCAAAGGAGAAATTGGCCTGGAATTTAAAATAGCTTCGATCTGTGTTAAAATAGTATAGAAATCTTTAAAGGTAAGGCATGCATTTCCTAAAATTCGCTTTAAATGCGATTTACATGATTTTATACCGGCTTCCCAAATACCTCCAAAATGGGGTGATTTAGCAGGAATAAAATGCCAATTGATGCCGTCGTCAGTTAATGATTTCATAACATTACTAAGGTTATTTTTGTCTGAATAAATGTTAGTGGGTTTTCCCCGACGTGCGATGAATCATCTGAGTGTAGCTAAAAAGCATTCTGATGTTAAATCCGATACTAGTTCTAAATGAATGGCTCGCGTACCAAAACAAATAAATAGGCATATATACCCTTTAATTTTTTTATACCCTCTAGTACGACAATCTCGCATCATAATCGGACCTCCAAAGTCCACGCCGCAATTCGTGAATGGCAAATGGGGAGTGACGCGGTTTTTTGGTAAATCGCCCATTAATGGGGAAATAGAAGTAGGATTAACCTTGAAGCATATGACGCATCTTCGTATAATACCTTTACACAGATTTCTACCGTTAGTATGTCTCTCTGAGCGTATGTAACAAGTGTTGCGCTCCAGAATGAAAAGATTTGATATGTTTATATCTGGTAATCAACGATGAAAGTGCATGATTTTTAGGAAGAACCATTGGGTGACGCTTATCGTAACCTAAATCAGACAACTTTATTTTACCGCCAACTCTCAAAATACCGTTTTCGTCTAAAAATGGGTTGAGAGATTTTAAATCTGATTTAGTTTTTATTGGCTCGTGGTTTGATAGAGATTCTGTTTCATTTTTGAATCTTTCACGTTGTGCTAATTTAATTAATCTTACGCGAGCATAATTAATTTCGGTGGTTTTTAATTCACCGTTGATACGGTCGTCCTTGTTCTTGCCCTTGTTCTTGCAATTTTCAAGGAACCGAACACAATATCCAATGACTCTAACTAACTTTGTATATGATGAATACATATTAAATATATTAGTTGTGGTTTGTTCTATTACTGTTAACGAAACATGTTTAATTTCTTCTTCGGTTTCTGATATGATATCTACGCTAAAAGAAAGTTTGTCAGTGGTCTTCAACCAAGATGGACCGAACCACCACAAATCTGAATTAATTAATACTTTCGGTAACATTCTTCGCGAAATTAAATCGGCTGGATTATCTTCTGATCTAACATGGTACCAATTGTTTGGATCCGTATTGGTTTGGATTTCCGAAACCCTATTAGCAACAAACGTTTTCTTAGCACTTGTGGGAAAGCAATTTAATCCATGCTAATACTCTTTTTGAATCGCTCCAAAGCATTTCGCGATTAATGGAAATTTCTAAATTATTTTTAACTTTATTAACTAATTTTGATAATAAATGAGCCGAGCATAATTCTAAACGCGGCAATGTGATGTTTCGTAACGGAGCAACCCGTACGTTACCGTATTTAATTCGAAACATTTTATAGGATCATTAGAATTATTGCGCCAAAATATTCTCTGAAACTTCTTATCATCCTTGTGAATTATAACTTGCCGATACATCTTTTCGATATCAGCTGTCATAGCGTACTTGTGCCGTCTAAATCTTAAGAGAATGGAAAAGATATCTTTTTGTATCGTCGGCCCTACAGCTTGTAAGTCATTGAGTGACCGACCGTTACTTGTCTTATATGAGGCGTCAAATACCACCCTCAGTTTGGTGGTTAAGCTTTCCCTTCTAATCACCGGATGATGAGGCAAATAATAAGCATTTGTTGGTTCTCGAAATTCATTAACATCATCTCGCATATGACCTAACTTTAGATATTCATCTATGAAGTTTTTATATTCTTTGAACAATTCTGTATTAGCCTTAAAACGTTTTTCGAGAAGAGCGAATCGTTTCAATGCAATTTGTTTCGAGTCTCCTAATTCAATTTTATTATATTTAAAAGATATTCGAACGACAAATCGTCCGTCAAAATTTCGATTAGTATGTGCCACAAAATGACGTTCACATTCTAATTCACAATCACTAAAACAATTAGCATTTTCAACTTTCTCTAAATCCCAAAATTTTCTACACTGTTATTTAAAATTTAAATTTCTGAGAAATAACAAAACGTTTTATTTGTTAAATCATGTGATTGAATTGTTCCCGAAATAATCCACCCTAATGCAGTATTTTGCAAGATCGTATTAGTCTTGGGCAATTTAATAAATCCCTTTTGTAGCAAACTCCAAAATAAGCCTGCTCCCAACAACATATCGATCCTACCACTGATATTAAAATTTGGATCGGCTAATTTTGTACCGGGAGGAATTTTCAAGATGTTTGTTGAAAACGAAACCGCGGGTATATGACTTGTTATTGACTTTAAAATTAAACATGATATGTTGAATACGAATTTATATTTGATTTTACCGAAACTTCTGTTTTGTGACTAACATCCGATAAAGATTGACTAATACCTGAAACGGACATCTTTATCGGTTGTGTTTTTAAAGAAAGTTTTTTTGAAAATTCCTGCGTTATAAAATTAGATTGTGAACCGCTATCCAACAAGATTCTAGCTGGAACCCAAACGCTCTTCTTATTCAATGCTGATATGACCGCTGTCGAAAGTAAGACGTGTGATTTAATTTCATTACTAAAAAATGATGTGCTAGGTACAGAATCATTTGTCGTTTTTTTCGATGGCTCTTTGCAATGCATCAGGGTATTATGTTTTTCGTGGCAAACTACGCAACGAAATGAAACTGGGCAATTATCAATATGGTGATTTGTATTTAAGCAATTAGTACATACATTTAATTGATTTGCTCGCGATATTCTTTCCTTCACTGTTAGTTTTTTAAAATCCTCACATTTGAATAATAAGTATATGCGTTCGAGATCGCATATGATTTTGTAATTCTATCGGTTCTTAATGGCACTTGTTTATGGGATTTGATAATCGGAACCTTATCATAGTGGAGCGATTCAAAAACCTGGCACCGATCATCCAGAAACTTTACCAGATCGGCAAATTTTGAAATGTCCGAACTTTTATTGTTGGATAGCTCCCATTCGCGACGAGTTTCCGAATCCAACTTACTTAACATTAAATATATTATCAATGAATCCCAATTATTGACAGGCTCACCTAACGCTTCTAAACAACGTAAATTTTTATTGAAGCTATCCACTAACTTTCTTAACATTTTAAAGTCTTCTGCCTTCATTTCCGAATGATTAAATAAATTTTTAATATGGTTATTAATTATTAACTTTTTATTTTCGAACCTATCTTTAAGTAATTCCCAAGCAATCTCGTAATTCGCTGCCGATGATGGCAATGAATGAATTACGCTTGCAGCTTCATTTTTTAGGCAAGATTTCAAATAATAAAATTTTTGGGCGTTGCTTAGATTTGTATCGTTATGTATTAATGCGGTAAAAGAATCATAAAACTGCAACCAATTACTATAGGAGCCGTCAAACGTTGGTAATGCGATGTTCGGAAGCTTTATATTGTTATTGAAAATTTGAGTTTGATCGCTTTTAATACTATTACTTAACTCGGGTTTTGGTATTTTAATTAATAATTCATTTAAAGTATTTTTTAATTTGTTGCTTAAATCTAAGACTGCCGGATATTCAACGTCATATAATTTATCTGATTATTCTTCATCGTCTAAAGCTTCTGCCAAATTATCAATAACAGTTTCATGTTTTCTAAAGTTTGCGCTTTGCTTAAGTGACTTTCTAAAATTAAAACATTCAAATCAGACAACGGCAATTTTTATAACCCGCTACGGACATTATCGATTATTGTGAACTGCACTTTTAATCCGCGTATTGAATATTTTAGTGACTTTACCGATTCCATCTTTTTCACAGATCAAAACAACTTATATAAAAAAGGATGTATTTAAGCAATAAAGGAATAATTGAGGAATGTACTTGAACTGACCTTTTTTGCTGTCCCGCTGTGCTTTCGTTGTTGCCTGCGTAGAATCTCAGCTGTTCCTTTCGGCACGGTGTTTACACTTGTTGGTTAACTTTTTTGTATTTTATTTAATAATTTGATTTGTGATTTTATTAAATTTAATCACTGAAATTTATTTATTTGTTTGTGGTATTATTAAATTTAATCATTCTCATTCTATTAATTTGATCTTAATTTAATAATAACTCACTTGAATTTATTTTTATTTGTGATTTTATAAACTAATCACCTGAAATTTGTAATATTATTAAATTTAATCACTTGCACTATAGATTTGATTTTAATTTAATAATTGACTTTGATATTTTAGCGGACTGTATTATGCTGGTTTATTAATTAACTATGAAGTCCAAAAACTCAAGTTTGGAACAATCATAAAAGTCCAAATAATAACTTCCCGGTTTGTTTGAACCAATGTTAATGCGTGAAGCTTAAAAAATTACTTCGACGTCTAACTGTTGTCGATTTACTTATTCTAACCGCTACACCTTTAAATTTGTTCTATAATTAAACTCTTGGTGTGATCGGTGATTATTTAAATAAAATGCGACGTTTGATATCAATATATTTATTATAAAAGAAATATAGTGAATATAATGGCATCAGATAGTTGGTGTTTCTAAACTGAGCTCTAAACTTATACTAAATAAAAATTATTAAAAATTAAGATTAACAATATTAGCCCCGCCCGTAAGAGGCGGGTTACATTAATTTGAACATATACAAGGGATGATTTCTTGGACTTAATATATCTGAGAAGGATGATTCCTTGAAATTATCTGAAGGCATTTGCAGACCCGTAAATTTACCGACGCCGATATAGACAGTCAAACATCAAAATAAAAAAATATCTTATATTACAAATGCATTTAGCACTTGAACTGTGAATGACATTCAGACCACCTGCATCATAGTCCGGCGACACTCTAGCGTAACAGACGACCCTTACAAAAAAATAGTTCATGTTACACTATTGGGACTCGTGATAATATATTTTAATTCTTAACACGGCATATTAAATAATCGAAATGCATAATTTTTATTTACTGAATTATGTATTGTATAAATTGTATTATGATCTGCCATTATTATCCTATTAAGGAAGTGAAAAAAAAATTCTAATCAAATCAGTATTTATTTGGTTCAAATTATATAACCTATATTTCGCTTGGCTAAAAATATATATGTTATAATTTTAGCTACAATATGATTATTTGCACGTTATTCGGCAAATTTTTTACATTTATAATATCAATCTACACTAAAGTTTTGCTTAGGTAAGAATTGCTTCTCAAATCACATTGGAACCTCATATTTTCGGACAAATTACTTGTTGTCTGCGCAGTCCACGCATATCGTTTTTGAACATCCAAGACAAATTGGCTTGCGGCATTCAATGCAATTGTACTTAGTACACCTTTTAAGTCTGGATGGGCATATTTGACACGTTTTTTTTGTTGCTTCTGTACTTTCAGGGGGTATTGTTTCAAGTACCGAAGGCTTATTTGGACCTAGTACGCGTGCATTTGTCAGTCGCAATTCTCTCGGCAAACTATTATTGTATACACGGCATTTCAAGTGCGGCAAAACTAAACTATAAGCGAGATTCTGAAGACTTGTACAGAGCATAGGCGTTGACTCCACTCATATTCAAGACTCTAAAAAAGATCGCGAGAGGCCAACGTCTGGTTCTACGATTTGACGAATAATTGGAACACTTTATCGATTTCATCGACACCCCTTTTTGTTTTATTATAAACTATTATGATTTCCGGCTTTTTTGATAGTAGATCCAATTGATTTGTATGGTGCATTGAAGAAATCAATATTACTGACTTTGCTTTTTTAGGGACATATGAAACAATAGTGAAATCTTTAGTAAAACGTGTAAAGATGATTCAGGCTTGCGAGTTTTAGATGCTTGAAATTCTGGTGGAATGTGCCTTTTATTTTTTTATCAAGTTTCCAAGATACGTCAGACCTCTATCTTTCAACTGCTTCATCAATTCTATAGAGCTAAACCAATTGTCGGCTGTAATATTGCGATTGTTTTTTTTCAAAATCCTTGCACAATCGTAATACAGACTGAGTTGGTATGGCGAGCTTTTTCTCAGTTTCGGTTAGTCCCATCCCATCGGAGTCTTTTCCATGGTAAATGTATGCATTATACAAATAAAAAGATTCTACATCAAATACTACTAAAATCATACTTGTACGGCTTCTTCAGCATATAAATAAGAAATTTGCATCTGCCTCTAAATGGAACTAACATTTCATCTACACATAAATAAGCTCTGGGAGTATATGCTTTCTTGCAATTGGAAATAAACAGTTGAAAAATTTCTGAAATTGCAGCCAATGTTACCTCTTTATTATAATAATTATAGAGTCCAGTTACCTCTTTATTATAATAATTATAGATAGATAAAAGTACTTACCTAATTAAATAATTCGACAAAAAACAAATAAGTATATTCTTTTACACCATACAACTTTTTAGATAAAACTAATGCCACTCGATATTGAAAAACTGATAGTGACGAACTTAGCATCGCAATGAAACATGGACCGTCTGGTTACTACTTTGCGTCTGTTTGTTTTAAAATAATTGTTTTGTATGTGCTCCGATTTTATGAATGCGAATGAGCTGAGTTTGTTACGCTTTGCTAAAATAATGCTAGCTCTTTTTAACCAAAAAGTTAAAGATTGGGGATTCCCCGTAAATTGAACTCCGATTGAGCAGTTTGAATAGTGCGTTCCATTCGAGTGTTGCTAACATAAAAAACCGCTTAATTTAGGGAATTTACGACTAAGCAGACCTCGAACTATGGGCAAGGGCCGGGGGGTGCCTGTGGCGCCCTGGGCCGTCGCCCAACCACGTCCTACCCTAACGCCGCTACTGGTAATGGGCAAAGACTTGCAGAACAATTATTTCTGCTTTACATCATCATCTTTAATGTATCGTCTAAACATCAATAATTGTGAACACATGCGATACGATAAGCAATGCGATAAGCAATTTTGTATGAAGCTTAAATGCATGATTCATTTGCTTTCTGTATATTGCCTGTAGAATCCGTGCGCGAAGACTTCAGTATTTTCTCCTTTTTGTTAAAAAATCTATATTTTTATCTGCTAACTCCTTGTGAACTTTAGCAAAAGGTTTTTTTAATTTGCTCGGTTTAATGCTTCCTGGATTAAGCACTTCATTACATAAAACACACTGAGACTTTGAGTTATCTCCATTTTGTTGAGGCTGCTGCTTGGATAACAGCGGGTTGGTGCGATCTTAAGGAATATTATACTGAATATATAACACTAATTTGTTTTTTTATCTGTATCTATTAAGACTAAAGGCTAATGAAAATCAATTTTGTATTATATTATAATCGATGTTACATTTTTATACCGAATGATACATTTATAATGGAAATATTATTATTAATTATAATATGATTATACCATAAACATAAAAAAATTGAATTCTTTAATTATCTTATAATCGAAGCTTTATAAGAGTCAATAGTTAATCATTTGTATTGTCATACAAAATGAACAGTTCACATGAACAGTTCTGTACCAGAGTCAGCATACCCATTCGGCAAGAAGATAACATAAAGCCCTCTTAATGTTAACATTATTCAAGATCTGATATCAGAAATGATGACCAAAAAGATAACATAAAGTTAACATAAAGCTCTCTTATGAGCCATCTAGTGTCATCTTTAAGAGATCACCGAAAAGATATCAGAAAGATAACATTTTTCAGAGATCATAATGTTAACATTTTTCAGAGATGGTAATGTTAACATTTTTATGTTACAAATAATAGGCTATTGTATAATTGATAATAAGGAAAAAATTGTTTAAATAACTTTTATTTGATAACACAATAAAAATAATATTACATTCCCATATAAGTAATCTTATCAATATGTTTACGGTTCTAGTGATTATTATGATTATTTAGTGTTATTTAAGGCGATCGCCAGCATGTTGGAACCATGACTTGAAAACTTGTTTAATTCTTTCCTTATCAGAGGCACTCCATTTTTGTAAAACTGCATCTGAAAAATAGAATTATGAAGAAAGTTACAGTTTTAAGATTGAAGTAATTCGTATTCTATTCAATATAATGAGACAAACTGAGTTAGAAAATAACAAAAGTTTAGGAATTCCAAAGTTGCATTATTTGTAGGATAGGCAAGCTTTACCTGTGATCAATTTTATAAATATTAAGCCGTCGATCTTAATCGTATTTTTGACACCTGTCCAACTCATGTTATAAGCCATAACATCAGAAACAGTCAACACCAACGCGTTCCTTGCATGCTTTTCAAAACTTGCACCGCCAAGCTGCTTAATATTTTCTCGCTTTGAAATAATAACAGAGAAAAACAAAGCAATGAAGATATAGTATTTAAAAACAATAAGTCTAAGACATAATTAAATAATAAGCAGAAATAAATTGATGAGTAATGAATAGAAATTTGATCATGCAATTAGGTTTATACTATAGGTTCAAAGTTAAATTTGCAATAAAAAAAACTTACATATTGAGTAGCTGCGATGATCAGAATCTTGTGCTAAATTTGCAGACGAACTTCCAATTGAGTCATCATCACTGCTATTAGTGACTTCTGACCATTATTGTGAGTCACGTAGGTAGTAGGAGGCATTTTAATATTATCAATTTCACTTTCTGAAAATAAAGTGTTCGATTAATATGGAACGAAATGATTGTTTATAATTAAATAACTTTATATGTTCCATACCTTCACTTTCAGAAGAACTTAATACCGATGCTAGCTTTTTCTTACATTTAGTTTCTATATAATAAATAAAATTAATATTAAAATTATTACAGAAAAGACTTTAGGTAAAGACAAAATAAATACCTACTATTTTGTACAGGGGTAGAGTCATCTTCTGTATCACAAAAGCGTGAAGGTTTACGGCACATTCTCTTTCCTTTGTCTGCTATATCTAATTTTTTTATTAGCTTTAATAGCAGCAAAACCTTCATCATCATTTGTAGACAGATTTAAATGATGATTAAATAAATTATTATCTCACTATTGATATAATGTAATATATTATAGTAAATTAGATAATTAAATGCCTATAGTGAATTACTGCTAACATTAACATATTCATGATTGTAAGCTCAAGTACAGAAATACATGAAGAGATTAGAAAAAAATATTTTTGATCAACGATTATATATTTAACTAGCTGACCCGACAGACTTCGTCCTGTCAAAAAATCTACCAAATCGGTTCTGATTGCTCTGTTGATCTTTTAAGGTTCTGTCTAAAGCATCAAAAGATTTTTTATGTGCCATCGTGCATTCATCCCAAACGATCAATTTATGTTGCTGCAAAACCTCTGTCATTGCAGAGTTCGATTAATTTTTTCAATTGTTGAGATCATACAGTTTATCTCGATGCAACTCTTGGTTAAAAGCATCATGCATTGGACGATTGGGCGCGGCCAGGCCTAAGTGAATTAATACTTTGTTTGACATCACCAAGCACATGTCTTCAATTGAAATCAATGCTTTGTTGTAAATTTCTTTACTGATATTTACTGCATATTTGGATTTTCCATTCTATTCCGTATTTGACACACATATAATTTTTGTACTTGATCCACAAATCAATTGGGTTTGATGGAAAGCATGTGGATATGATTATAGAAAACAATGTTCGTATTTGATGAGCGTGTGAAGATATTACAGCATCGCTAAGAGTTTGATCCCAATGAGCGTCATTTTCTAGTAATTGTAAACGTTGACGGGCTACTCTGTAGGATCCATACAATTCACCATCAACAGTTTGTGAATGTTGGAATGATGTTGGGTCACGTACATTGACTAATAGCAGTCGTAAATAAAAACATTCACCATGGCTTGGATGTACTGAATAAATTAGATCAATCGCATCGGTGGAATATACATCTGTGTATCCTGGTACTGATTTTCCTTGTTTCTGTTGTATTAATCTTCTTGATTCCAAGTATAATATTTTGGCATTTCAGAATATAGCAGTGTTTGTGCAAAATTATCGTTTTGACATGTCTCAAAAAAACTTGTTAATTTAGTAGATGGTGGCTGAGCAGCTCTTTGACCTGCGTTCACTGCTGTAAAGTACACCCTTTGCCCATTTTCTAAATGCACAGCTAAGTGAATAACAGAAGGGTGTCTGTCATTAATTGGAAAAGAAAATATTCGCCAAATTGCATCATTACTACTAACATATCGGCCCATTTATGTTCATTTCGGTCGTCATGTTCTTGTGCAGTACGATTACATCGGTAATTAGCTTGGTTTGTAGCGTTTCGTGTTTTTTTACTTAAATTGTCTCGTCCTATAGGAGGCATTATCAAAATATTGTGTCACATGCAAAAACTTTTTATTCATAAGTAGATAACAAAACACTACAAACAAAACAAAAGCACACTCAGTAGAGTATAACAGAAAATGCAAGAAAAACACCACCGGCAAGGGCGGCAAATGGATTTTTTTAATCTTATATGACTTGAAGTCAAATTCTTTAATGCTATACCAATTTTATCGCCTGCCGAAAGTAAAACAAAAGAAATAATATCGAGAAAGAGTTAGAAAAGGGCTGTTTTTAGGGTTTTCCCGACAATTATTTCTCGCCGTAAGAACCATTCTTGGATGTCAACGAACATTTTAAAAAAAGAATTTTACCAAATGGACCGCTCAGTCGAATATACTTATAAGTGATCCAATTATCTTTAGGATTGTCAGCTCTAATGATTTGTAAGGTAGGGCTCCTTTTCTTCGGCCACTTAAACGTTTGTGAATCTGAATCGACCCACGATTCCTGACGTTTTATTCCAAAACACCACAAAATACATCTTGTGTTGAATCTTAAAAAAAAATCAATTCAGAAATTGTAAATATTCATTAAATTTGACGCATTCTACATTTTATTAGACACCTTAGAAAGATTATGCCGTAAAGGTTTTTTTTAATTAATCAAATCATTTATGTATTAATTCAATCAACAAAAATGTAAAAAAATATTTAAAATTAATAATAATTTGAAGATTAAAATATTTTTACTGCAATTAATTAAAAGAGCGACGGGCATTATGTTATAACAATTTTAAATAATTAAATTAGTTATAAAACATGAAAAAAATGTGTTTATAACCTATATTTATATTTACAAGTTTATTTATTAGTCAATTAAATTATTGACAGCTAATGAATAATCTGGAACACAAAGACTATTATTTATATTTTCAGCACTTTCACTCAGTTAAAAATAATACCTTTATATTATAATAATTTAATGAAAACAATATAAGCAATGCCGAACGAATGATAATGTAATTCACGCTTGTCAACAACCACTCTCTTATGGATGAGTGAGAGGTCCGTAGTATATAAAGCAAAATGGCCGCTTTTGGCGCGAAAAGCACAATTAAATTTTTCACATGTTTCAACATCGAATTATTTTTAATAGATCACCAATTTTATTCTTTAAAATGTAACTAATTAAAATTGTTTTTTAACAATGACATAATGAAATTCAAAAATTCTAAAAATAGCAAAAATCTGACAATTTTCAAAAGTTTTATTAACAAATAATAAATGAATACAAAGGTTAATTAAAATAAAAAAATTATATCTATAAATTTTAATGTCATAAAATTATATAAAAAATTTATATAGCACTATGATTCGATATCTGAATGGATTAAGGGTAGACAACAGAAAGTTTCTTTATAGGGGATGCAAACTGCTTTCATTTTTACTTCTTCAGCACTAAAAAGCATTGTTTGAGACCACCACGTATTTCCGACGTATATCTGAAAGTCAAGTGAACTAACAAGATAATTAGGAAAACTTACAGGATCTAATAATGATTCTCCCGTTAAGCTTATTTCACCATCACTCACACTAATATTTTTTACTCGAAGAAGAACATTGTTTCTTAAATAACAATACTTATCACCTTGGTTTTTCAACGACAGCGAAAATTGTTTAAAATGTATTTTATTATAACTAATCATTTTTAAGTTTTTAGAAATTTCTAAATTTTGATCAGCTACAACTGGTTGATTATAAATTTAATTGTTCGATGGAGTGCGACATAAATTGTTTTCAACAATTCTTCTATGCAATTGCTGCAAAGGTTGACTAATCATTTTTAAGTTTTTAGAAATTTCTAAATTTTGATCAGCTACAACTGGTTGATTATAAATTTGATTCTTCGATGGAGTGCGGCATAAATTGTTTTCAACAAGTCTTCTATGCAATTGCTGCAAAGGTTGACCTGCTTTTTTTAATTTTTTTTCAGAATATATAAGTAATTTTCAAATGGAAAAGCACTTATAGAATCAAGATGTCCGAATTTTAAAACATCGTCAGGAAAATGAATTAAATTGTGAAAATTATATACTAAAATTTTTTCTCCGTACAACGTTTTACAATTTTGGACAAAGTATATCAATAAAGACCTTGCATAATCATTGTTACGAAGACAATCTTCTTCATGACTCAAAATTCTAATAGCACAATGTAATGAATTGAAGTGAATTTGGTAACTTCGTGGTAAATAATTTGAGAAAACAATTGGACCTGTATACAATAGAAATTGACGAAACTCTGTGGCCTTAAATCGATCTACATATTGCAATTTGCGTGGTTTTCTTGCAAATTTTTGTGGAATCCATTTTGCAATTTTAACTAGCTTCCCAGAAATTTCGGCAATTTGTTTTGCTGACCATTTATGTGCGTGGGGACCTTTTACAAATGTTGTCAAATTTTTTTTCATCACTCCAAGACAGCAGTTGCTCGCTCTTATGACAACTTTAAAATTCCGGTTTTTGTAATTAACCCTTTTGACTCGGATGCCGCCACTCCGGCGGCATGGTCATTTTGCCGTTGCGCTCGGATGCCGCCTCTCCGGCGGCATGATACGTTTTACCATTCTACTCGGATGCCGCCGCTCCGGCGGCAAATTGTGTTGCCGCGAACTAAACTTACAACATGTGATTTTTTGTCATATTTCTGAAATTAATTCACTATTAAGTTTATTTCAAAATCCGATACAAAAAAAAATTCCGAGTTGAGAGATATGTATAGCACTATAATATACCGAGCGCAGAGCACCATCGAGCAGTCGGACTCCCGAGTGGAAAGTGTTAAAACCTGTTGTATGTAAGTTTTTATACTCATTTAAAAATTCTTCCAAAAATACTTTGCAACTATGAGGTTTTTCATAGCCATGATATATTCCTATAACAAATGGCTGAGAAACTTTAGGATGAATCTGAGCAAGGATGGGATACAGTTGGCTGGTAGAGCTTTTTGTGTAGAACTTCGGCTAGTTTCGTATAGTGTTGTCCGACCTTACGTTAGGTCAATCAATGGGTGTTTGAATAATCAAGCAATTGCTTGTTTATTGATGTTGTAATACCGACAACTCTAAAAGTTGCGCAACTTGAATTCCATTTTAATTTACAAAATTCACTATTTTATTAAATTATTTGAAAAAAAAACATGCTTTATTTTGCTTGAAGGTGTTAACAATTGTCAAATTTCAAGATAGTAAAAATTATTGCCAGTGGAAGACTACTGAAGTAAATATCCGTTGTAATGTTTCTACCGGATCCATAACTTTAATTCCGGGTTTAATTTAGCGGGGTTTGACGGAATATACTAAGAATGAGTGAATTTAGTTGTACTTCGATATGGATAATGTTGCTTGTGGATTGTCAAGTTTTCTGTTGGCTTATAATGTTTTTCTAAATTACTATTCAACATTGTCCAAATGCCTCGTATTGGAGCAGCTTTACCACTTTCAAAGCGATGAGCTCAAGTATTAGCATCATTAAATCATAACAATGCGACTTTTTCTCGTCGACTTGATACCAAGATGTAACCGCCGCATGCACGAAAAAACAAATGGAAGTTATCATCTAATTGTGACTTCTAGAATTTTTGAGAGACATTCTAGAATAATTTGATGTACTCCATGTATAAGAAATATTATCTAAATTTTCCTTTTTATTTACTCGATTATATACAAGATTACATTGATAAAGCTGAATATGTGCGATAGTGTTTCAATGTAATTTGCTAAAACCAATTATATACGCTTAGAAAAACTTATCAATTTCATTATTTGTCCCAAATTCAACTGAAGATGAGTGATACAATACTCTTGTGCCACAATGTTTTAATGGAAATCCTATCAATGTAATACTTGTCATTAAAGTATCACCAGGTTGTTACCAGTGGTGCACCATGTAGAGAACTCAAAATCCAAAAACATTAGTTGAATATACTAGCATTGTAAAAGGCAACATCAAATTATACATCTTGAATTAAACGAATATAAAGTTTTTGAATTG